TAAGCTAAGGAGATTGCCTTGGACTCGTCGAGTTCCTCCTTGAACTCGTCGAGTACCATGATCATCATGTCCATTACCAACACAGACTGGCTGAGTCCTTTTCTAACCTCACTCACTGATCTGACTCATAAACAGAAGGGTTTGGGTTTGCGACCCGACTCGTCGAGTCCATGAACTGACTCGTCGAGTCCATCTTATGACATCTCTATTCTGCCGATTCTGGTCCATCCCAACACCTCCAACTCATAGATTCGGACTCCTTATGCTAGCATTGCACATAAAGTTGCTAACTTTACGTGCATGCAAGGTATTATGAGGCTAGAACACTTAATCCAAGCTACAAGGAAGGCCTAGGTCAAGAAATGGGACCTTAGCTGGATAAAGCCAACAACTTTTGAGCTTCTAAAGCTCAAGAGTGTCCAGATCTGTGTCCAATCCATCCTCAAAGGCTTAATACTCAGATTGACCTTGGAAATGGTCCAAATGTGACCAAATATATGCTAGAAAGGGGATCTAGATGATTAACAGTCAAGGTATAATCTTTTTACCTCTAAATGGTCCGAAATGCTACCCCAATTCTGGATCTATAGCTTCTTTTTGCACCACCAAGGTCCTTCCTCCTTCTCCAAGCTTCAATTCACTCTCAAGGCAAGAACTAGCTCAATCAATGGAGTTGGGTGGATAGGGTTTGGGTTCTAGACGAGAGAGGCTGTAAATGCACCCTAGGGAAGAGAATAAGACGCTTAAATAGGGTACCAAGTCCCGAAATTAGGGCTTCCTAACCCAGACTAGACTCGCCGAGTCCACTCTCCGACTCATCAAGTCGGTCACTTAACCTTACACACGGATCCCACTCTGACTCGTCGAGTTCTCCCTTAGACTCGACGAGTTGACCCCCTTTGACTTAGGGTTTTCTTTCCTTTCCAGGTCTTCTGGATTATGGGTGTTACAGAAAACTATATGTTCTAGATCTTTTGAGAGGGTTCCTTGAAGATAGTTTTCAAACACCCCCTATATTGTTACGATTTAAGAATGTTATGTACTTGACATTGGTATTTTTTGGTAAAGACTTCAAATCATGGTAAGAAAAACAAATCAAGGGCTAAGGTTTCAAAGCTCATGTGAAGATTATAATTAGGTTGGATGGAATCACAGGAAACTCATTGGTCAGTGGAATCTACACAAGAAGAACTCCTAAACTTCCTCGTATGTAAAATTTCATATATGTTTTAATTTAATTTGTAATTTCATGGGTGAACATAATCAGACGTCAGTTCAATTCATGTTTGTTGTTAAGATGAAGACTGATGAATGTTATCTAGCTTAGACGTCTTTGACTATGACAACAAAGTGGTTTCCACGTGAAACTTAACAAAAGATGATCCATTTGTCCACCCCTTTTGATGAATTTTCCCAAAATAAATACAACATTTTTTTGTATGTTATGGTTTTGTTATAGATGTTAGAATTTCCTAATTTTCTTTATTTTTTTAGACCAAAAAAATAAAGAAACGTCTGAAAGCTCATGTGAAGTTTGTAATTAAGTTGGAAGGAATCACTAGCAGCTCATTGGTTAGTGGACTGTGCATAAGAAGAACTCCTAAACTTCCTCATATCTAAAATTTCATATATGTTTTAATTTTATTTGTAATTTCATGGGTGAATATAATCTGAAATCAGTTTATGCAGGTATGTTGTTCAAATGAAGACTGGTGAATGTTATCAAGCTTATACGTCTTTAACTACAACAACAAAAGCGGTTTCCACATGAAACTTAACAAAAGATGATCCATTCTTCCTCCTTTTTGACGATTTTCCCCAAAATAAATACAACATTTTTTTTGTGTTATAATTTTGTTATAGATGTTAGAATTTCCTAATTTTCTTTATTTTTTAGACCAAGAAATAAAGAAACAGTCTGAAAAACTATAACATCTCAAAAATCAGAGTAAATTACACAAATGGTCCATATGGTTTAGAGTAATTTGCACGTTTGGTCCCTAACTTATTTTTTTATCTCGGAATGTCCCTAATGTTTATTTTTGTTACGCACTTGGTCCCTCTCTTACCTAAAAAGACTATTTTGGGCTTGATTTTTTAACTTATTTAAATAAACACACCATCAACCCCATCCTCATCACCTTATCTTACTTATCCCACCATTTTTTTCATATTTAAATAATAGTCATTTTACGTAAGACAAGGACCAAACGCGTAATAAAAACAGATAGTAGGGACCAAGCCCGTAAAAAAACAAACAATATGGACTTTCTAAGTTAAAAAAATAAGTTACGGACCAAACACGCAAATTACCCCAAACCATACGGACCATTCGTGTAATTTACTCCAAAAATCACAACAAATCTAAACTTTTCAAAACAACCCATTTAAAGAAGTGTTTACATAACTATTATTTTCAAAACATTATTAAAAACCAGAGTCTTCCAAGATCCGATCAACATAAACCAATGATCTATACTATCACGCATTCGCCTTGCCATGGTCCTCAAAAGTACCTAAAACAAAACTAAAATTGTAAGCCAACGCTTAGTGTATTCCCCCAAAATATCACCATATAAACATAACAAACATGGACCACCTCAATGGGCCTTCAGCCTATCTGGACTGCTATTTGGGCCTTCAGCTTGACTAGTCCACCTTGCAGGCCTTCAGTCTTTCCGGACCGCCCTGGGTGTCATGGTCTTCAGCACAAAGCAGGACCGCCTCAACCCGGTACACCATCACATATCAACATATACAATAACAATCAATAACTAACATATACAAGTAGTCATACATATCTAACAGATCATAACAACATCCTATATATACCAGGATACAAATCTAACATATCACGACAGCATAACAACATACAATAAAACCAGGATATCAATCCAACGGGCCGACCTTGGTGCCTTCGAGCCGTAAGTACAATGGGGAAAACTCACCTCACAGTCTGAATGCAATCTAAATAGCTCCCCGCTCCGACAGCCGACTCAATACAAATCCTAAATGTCAAAATATTTTCCATTCTAAATTAATAACATTTCCTAAAATACCCTTGGTAAACTGGTCAAAATCCACAAGTCAGCCGAGTCAACTCAGCCAAGTAGACTCAGGCTTCGTGAGTGGTGCGTACTCCGGAGGTACACATGGTGTACAAGTTGTTCGAGGCGTCGGGGCCAGATTTGCGTACATATAGCGTACCCTTCGGTACGCCCAATGTACGCAACAGTCCCCTTCTTAACTTATTAAGAGCTTATTTCTCCGGCTTGACACGTCTAATTGCAGATCCAAGGCTAAAATACCATTAATAGTCATAAAGTTTCCAACTTTATGACATTGCATGTCCATTAAGTGCTTAAAACACAAAATCTCAACATCTTGATGCCTTAAGACCTTCTATAGCATGCATGGAGTAAAAACTAAGCATCAAGACCACATTTTTATGACTCAAAACCCCTTATAAGGTTTAAAAGGATGACTTTTTGGGTTAAGAGCATGTCATGCTCAAGAATCACCATATCTGGGACCGAAAATGCCCAAAATGAAGAAACGACTAGATCTACAAGTAAGAGTGATCAAGTTATAAACTTTTTCCTCCTGGAGGTTGCTAGCAAGTGGGGAATCTCACATCTAAATTGCTTCCAAGCTTCAAGGTCCTTGCACCAACTTCTTTTTCTTCAAGAACACCAACAAAGCACACAAATGAGCTGAAAAGCACTCTTAACACTGAGGGTTTGCTAGAGGGTCGAATTCTTAGTCGGAGGCTTATTAGGATGAAGGTCTTGAGCCATAAATTTGTTTAAATAAGGTGCAGACCCTAAATTTTAGGGTTTGGGACCCTCGCATGTATGCCCAACGTACGAAGAGTACGCCCAACGTATTAAGTTCTAGCAAGAAATTACCATAATGCCACTATGGGCTATTTTGCACCCTTTCTTATGCACAAGGACTAGAATGCAATGCTATTCATACATAGTGTTAAAATTGAAATTATCTCAACATCGGGATGTTACAAAAAACTAGGATATGACCTATCCTAAATTTCTTGATCTTGGTTTTATATAACTTTGTTTTTTGAAGATACATGAAAGTTTAAATTAATTTGGGTGGACATTAGAGGAGATACAAAAGTTTTTTTTTTTTTTTTTTTTAAAGTTTTATGCAGAATCCATCTTGGAAGATATAGTTAGTGTTTGCTTTCCATACGCAGACCAGGTTTACTAAAGTAGGATGTTATATAAAGCATTGTAATTTGATGTAACGACTACGTCATCTACTTTCAAGACCCACTCGAAAATAGTATACTTCTGACTCATAAGTACATTGCTATTCTACTGTGGGTATTAAAAATTTGTTGCCATTATGGATTGTAGTTACCATTATAGTAAGAAAAATCGCCCATATTTGCCCTGCACTGACAGGTTTACATATTTGCCCATGCACATCAAGTTGTCATAAAATTGTTGTGTTAAGGTGACCTATTCACAAAGTGTCATCCCTAATAATTGTTTCGTTCAAAATTAAATTATGATAGGGAAGACGAATAGTAATGAATGAAGTGGATAATCATATGCTTCAATCTTTTGCTATATATGTATCTTTTGTTATCTATATCTTAGACTGCCTAATGAAATACTAAATAAAGCAATGCAAAAAAAAAAAAAAAAAAAAAAAAAAAAAAATCAATCCCGTAACAAAGCACAAGTTTTTTTTTTTTACTAGATTACATAAAAGTAAAGAATCTAATAACTTATTTTATAAAAGTCATGCATGATTTTTTTTAATGTTAAATACACACCGTATAAATAAAGGCGGACCATTAAGTAAATATCATGGATATTTCTATTGTTCCCAAGAACCCATCAAAATCTTTATTCCAAAACAAATCGATAAAATCAAAAAAGGTAATTTAAAGATTCAAAACTAGGATCTTACACTAATATGTCGTTCATCAAACACAAATTTGTCACAAATTTAATCTGTTTAATGAGAAACATAGATCTTTTTATAGCTTACAAAATAAGTTCTTAAGTGATATATATATAGATACATAACTATACATTTACGTTATGGCTCCACAACCACCTTCCCAGTCGCATGCCCTTCAATACTCTTAATCCAAGCCTCTTGAGCCCTACTTAAAGGATATCTCGAATCAATAACAGATTTCAGTTTCCCTTCTTTTACCAACTTCACAAGACACTCAATCTCCTCAGCTTTTGGAGTCATAATCAACGGGTATAGTTGCTTCTTTGAACACATAATTTTATTCACAACATAAGTCCAAAAAGCACGAACACCAGGTGTTAAATCAACCACTTTCCCATTTTTGCTCAAATTAGGCTCAAAGGTCGACCACGGGATCCCATTTGTACAATGGATCACTACATCGTATTTCTTGCCCGATGGGCTTTTAAGGGCGGAACCTTCCACGGTCTTGTAATCTAGCACCTCATCGGCTCCTAGGTTTTTCACTAATTTGATGTTACGAGCCCCACATGTTGCGGTCACGTGTATGTTCCCTAGTTTTGCCAATTGGACCGCGTAGTGGCCCACGCCGCCAGAAGCGGCGGTTACAAGAATGTTTGAGCGCGGTTGGGTCTTTACAAGGTTTAGTCCGGCGGTTACAGTTAGGGCACGAAGAGCGGTGCACCCTGCGAAGACTAGACTAGCACCATCTGCAGCCGAAACTTCTGGTGGTCTAAAAACCGTTGAGCTCTCCTTAGCCACCGCGTACTCAGCCAACCCTCCACCCGTAACCCCCTAAAAAAGCAAAAATGTAGTATTAAGACAGGAAATAACATACACAAGTGGGACTAAGAGCATCTACACCGGTAAGCTCAATGAGAGAGTTGAATGTGGTGACAAATCTATGTGTCATTCAATGGATGAAACTCTACCATTGTAAGATGCCACATTGACGTTCAATGGATTTGGAGTTCAATGACCATTGAACTCTTCAATGGGAAAAAAAAATGAAAGTTTATAATTCTTAATTATTTACTATAAATTAGATTTGTAACATTTTATTGAACTTTGTAGAGTTCAATGCATTGTGTGAAAAAATGATAAAGTTGTATGAATAGTAGAAAGATGATGTGACAATCCATTGAAGTTCAATGCATTATGGATACATAAGAGAGATGTCATAGGACAAAAATTTACTAAATATGGAAAGAAGAAAGATGAAACACACAAGGGTGGAAACGATTTTGTCACCAGGTTTAAAATTCTTGACTCCAAGTCCAACTTTTACAATCTCTCCAGCTATATCCCATACTATTTCAACAAACAAATTACAATTAGGGGAAAATAATATATATAGAAATCATACGATTGGATAAAATGATGATGGATCCTAATTGAAGTATTGAACAAACCTGGTATAAACGGAAACTTTTTGGGCAAAAGAGGGCGAACCATGCCTTTCTGAATTTTCCAATCGATTGGGTTTATGCTTGCTGCCTCTATTTTCACCAGAATCTCATCAATGTCGGGAGAAGGAACGGGGATCTCAACATGCTGCACAAGATATAAGCGATAGTATATCATGCATCACGTTATAACATTACTACATCAGTAGTCCATAAATACCAGGAGTTATGTATGTAAATGTAATATATTGTTTATCAGATAGGTTAATCCTAATCTCTCTAGGGAAAAAAACGTTACTGGTTAAATAAATTCGAAACAGTAAGGGGGTAGAAAAGCAGTATAAACAACAATATAATTGTATTACCTTCAAAGCAGCAGAACCTCCGCCATAAGAATTGTACCAAACAGCCTTCATCAATTTTCCGACCATGTTAGTTCGCCGATATAACTTTCTGAGCTATGGCTTCAATATATATTTGGTAGTGAGCAAATGACGCCGTTATTTGAATTTATAAACCAATAATGTGTAGAAAGGTTCATCTATTTGACTATTTTGTGTTTTCTATTTTAACTCCTCGTCTCATCACTTCATTTGACTTTTTGGCTTAGTATTTTAGAGTTTATATATTTTTTTTAGGATTATTCTATATACATCTCCTTATTTTTTCTTGCATCATGATGGATGATAGGTTTGTTTTTCTATTATTATTTATTATTTTTTATTTATTTTGTTTTACTATCATTAGAATACTTGTTATTATTTTCATTATGATTTGTTATTCTTATTTTTAGTTTATTGTTATTTTTATAGTCGAAAAATATTAGTAACAAAAATAAAATAAGTAATAATGGGAAGTTTGGGCCTGATTGCTTGATACACTAGTATTAATAGACATAATTAATTGAAATCATTTGTCAAAATTAAAAGCCCACTAAGAAAAACAAGATTTTTGGTTGTGAGCTTTTAAAAGCTCTGTCAAAATAAAGATTTAAGGTTAAAATTAAGTTTTTTTAATAGTTGGTAAACTTACTTTTTGGATAAAACTAGTAGGTGATTCAGGCTTTGTCTAAAATATTTTTTTAACTAAAAAATAATCAGAATTGGCCCAAAAGCGGTTTTTGACTTTAAAAAATAGACTTAAACTGAATAAAATTTGAAAAGTGGCCAAAAGTGACAACCTTAATAAAGTTTAGGGACCATTTAATATGTATATAAATATGTAGGTTAGAATTTGATTATGTTTTCTCAAAAAAAATTATAAAATCTCAATGATGTTAAAAATTATGTTTTTACACGGTTAATTAAAGGTTGTATTATTTTTGTGTTTTGAATCATGACCAGATCCGATTATTTTGATCGACTAAATTATATAGTATTTGCTAGTACCTCCAACAGAAAATTTATATATACACCACTGCGGGTGAACCAAAAGAAAAATATGGTTTTTTGTTATTAAACTCTTTTGAAATCGTTGCAATCTTAGAAAGCTAAAAGAAAGGAGAAGATATGAAGATTGGGCACATAGTGCGAATGGATGTTGCTCAGAAGACATTCGAGATGTCTTTTTTTTTTTTTAACAAATGATAATCCATATAGATATCTTTATATAATTTGTTTAATGAAAAACATAGATCTTTTTATAACTGATCAAATAAGTTCTTATGTTATATGCATAAATAACTATCCAACTATATATAGTTACGTTACGGCTCCACAACTAACTTCCCAGTCGCATGTCCTTCGATACTCTTGGCCCAAGCCTCTTCAGCCCGACTTAAAGGATACCTTGAATCAATAACAGTTTTCAGTTTTCCCTCTTTCACATAATTCAAAAGGCACTCAATCTCTTCCACTTTTGGAACCACAATCAACGGCTGTAGTTGCTTCTTTGAATACGTAATTTTATTCATAGCATAAGTCCAGAACGCACGACCACCAGGTGTTAAATCAACCACTTTCCCCTTTGGGCTCAAATTAGGCTGAAAGGTCGACCACGGGATCCCAGTTGTACAATGGATAACCACATCATATTTTTTACCCGATGGGCTTTTAAGGACGAAACCTTCCGGAGTCTTGTAATCAAGAACCTCGTCCGCTCCTAGGTTTTTGACAAATTCAATGTTACGGCCCCACATGTTGCGGTCACGTGCGTGTTTCCTAGTTTTGCTAATTGGACCGCGTAGTGGCCCACCCCGCCTAAAGCGGCGGTTACGAGGACATTTAAGCATTGTTCGGTCTTGACCAGGTTTAGACCGGCGGTTACGGTTAGGGCATGAAGAGCGGTGCACCCTGCTATGACTAGACTCGCACCGTCTGCAGCCGAGACTTCTGGTGGTCTTGGAACCGTTGAGCTCTCCTTAGCCACCGCGTACTCTGCCAACCCTCCACCTGTACCCTGACATCCAGTCAGCAAAAAGGTGGAGTTAAAACCAAAGTTTATACTGTGTTTGATATAAATTAGACTAAAAAAAAAATGGAACTCACTAAGGTGGAAACAATTTTATCACCGGCTTTAAACTTCTTCACCCCAGGTCCAACCTCCACAACCTCCCCGGCTACATCACTAACTGTTCCAACAAACAAATATGGTTATGTTACGTACTTAATTTATAATTTGTGCTACTTAGATCCTTGAACTTTTTTAAGTATGTATTTCGTCATAAAACACAATATTAATATACTAACCAGGTATAAAAGGAAATTTTCTGGGCAAAATAGGGCGCATCCTGCCTTTTTGAATTGTCCAGTCGAACGGATTTATGCTTGATGCTTCTATTTTCATCAGAATCTCAAGATTGCCAGGAATAGGAACGGGGATCTCAACATGCTGCAAAAGATATAATAAATAACAATTAAAAATAACGAAGAATTTCACTACATAAACTGAAAACGAGAAAGGTGTCGACGAAAAACAATCCAAACAGCATGCAGTCTCCTTGAAATGTGATTGTTTTACCTTCAAACCAGCGGAGCCTCCGCCATAAGAATCGTAACAAACAGCCTTCATCAATTTTCCGGCCATATTCATCCACCGATCTGGGATGAGGTATGAATGTAGTGACGACGTTTATTGATTATAAAGAACTTCACGATGACCAGAAGATTCGTCTGTTTGACTTTTCGGATCACGTATTTTGACTGTGTTCCTCGGCCACTGTATGACTTTAATTTCATGTATTCTTGACCACTTAATTTTTCGCCGAACATTAGAGTCGAAAAATAATAATAAACGGAACATAAAATATATTGATTTAACCAGGTTCGAAAATACGGCATTAATCGAATGCCCTATTTTGGAAAACCATAAGGGTGGTTTGGTCCAACTATTTTTTGGATTTATGGGTTAACCACAAAAGTAAATCCCGGACAATTTTAGTTCTAGGAATATTTTAGGAAACATTCGTTTTATGCGGTTTTTGTGTTAGAGTAAGAGTTTAGTTTTATCTATAAATAAAGTTAATGTTTAAGATGTTTAAGATAACTTTTTCCAGCAATAAAGTTCACCAAGTAATTTCTTGTTCTTGTTCTTTTTTTCTTCTTTGTTCAGTTCATGCATTGAGCATCAATGTAATATCAGGTGGTATACCTACACTTGAAATCAGAGCCTAGGGCTCGTGAAGGCAGAAGTCAACCGGTTTGAGAGTCGGTTTCAAGAAAACTATAGTCTTTCGCCACGGGGCAGACGCAGTGGGAACCAGGTTCGATTTAAAAGGGGGTATGGATTTTTTTAGCACGAGTTGAAGCATCTTAACAAGAGCTCCGATTTCTCTTGATCGGGCTTGTTCTAAGGTAGAGAAAGAGACTAACCGGAGGCGCGTAATAAACGGACGGGAAGACGTCAAAGCGGGTGGCTTTGATTTGGTTCGCTTTGCGGCTGACGAAAGATAGTAAAAGTGGTTGTGACCTTGTCTTGTTGTTCGGTAGAAGGGTGCTCTCAGAACAAGCTGGATTAAAGAGGTCGGGATTGTCAAAAGAGAAAATAGGATGTCGATGGTTAAAAAATGAGGTTCGATGACATATCAAGTTTCGGTTTTGACTCCAACGAATTATTCGGTGTGGGAACCAAAGTCAAGTTGATTATGGATGCACATGACATGTGATAAGGTTGAACCAAGGGCATTCGGTTGAAGAATCTCTCGGAATATGATTGATCGACAAAGGTATGGTTGTCAAGACAAGAAGAGAATGAACAAATTACACTGTGTGAACATTATGGCGTTGGATTTCAAATCGGGTGGCATTGGATGTGGCCAAGGAATAGGTCGTTGATTCAAGAAAAGGCGAGATGGTAGTGAACACGTCTAGCGCGATGCCATGGTATATGTCACATGTGTTGTCAACAATTAAAGCGGGTTGTTAGAAGACTTGGATGTGACCGATATGGAGGTTTGGTATCCGAGAAAAGTCGGGATGGTTCCAGAAGGCGGTGATTCAGCACTGCTATGAATGAGGGGTACGACCAAACCGATTAAGGGAGTGATTTTTGGATTAATCTGTTTATCACAAGAGGAAATCCGAGACAATTTTAGTTCTAGGTGTATTTTAGAAAACATTCCTTTATGAAGTTTTCGTGTTAGAGTAGAAGTCTAGTTTTATTAGTATAAATAACGTTAATGTTTAGGATGTTTTAGTTAACTTTTCCCAGCAATAAAGTTCACAAAGTAATTCATCGTTCTTGTTTTTGTTCTTTTTCATACATTGGGCACCAATGTAATATTTAGGTGGTATACCTACACTATGATGTTATGATTCTCCCTTTGATTTTTTTGGGGGTTGAGTCTAAATTCTACCTTTTAAATGCCCTTAAATATATAATATTAGGTGACATTTTGTTTGCTTCATATTTTTTGTTTGTTTGTTAGTTTGGCAAAATAGAATGAAATTCAATTCCATATTAATAGGAACATGAATTTATAAAATGTAAAATGACATAATTATCTTCTCATCTTTTTAATTTTATTTTGTTTTATAAATCATATGTAAAGATATATAGTATATAAATTATAAAAATAGTAAATGGTGGTGGTGGCAGACATAGTAGTTGGTGGTGGTGGTGGTAAATGTGGTGGCGGTGGTGGGCAATGGAGGTAGCGACGACAGTGCGTGGTGGTGGCGGTGGGTTGTGATGAAGGTGGAGATGTTGGTGGCGGTGGATGGAGGTGGTGGCAGCAATGATAGTGGTTGATGGTAATAGGAAAAAAAATATTATGGTAATCCTTAAGGCTTTCAAATATGATATTTTAATATCACAATTCACACTTCACACTTAAGGCTTTCAAATATGATATTTTAATACACTTAAGGCTTTCATGTATTATTTGAAAGGCTTTCAAATAATACACTTAAGACATATCAAATTAGGCTTTCAAATATCAAATTAGGCTTTCAAATAATACACTTAAGGCTTTCAAATATGATATTTTAAAATATCATATTTATTCAAATCTATGTTGTCACGCCTTCCTTCTTGCAACGAGTGGGATTATTTGAAAGCCTAATTTGATGATATAACCATGGAGTGTTCTTGATCGGGTTACGGAAAGGAGGTCACATACGTTTCTCTAATTTTGCTCAAATATGAACTGGATTCATTCTTGCAGACATCGTTGGGGAATATATTAGACAACAGAAATGAGGAAGAAAACTTCTCAAACTCTCATTCAATCATCTATTTGATTACGTATACAGAGAAGAACATAAGGACTAACTAACTTTTACATATAATTACATATTAAACCTTCTACTAATCACTATTACATTTCTAATATTCCCCTTCAAGTTGGAGCTGGAGAATAAATGTTCTTCAGACCCTTGCTTATAAAAGCTAAATTTTTTGAACTTGGTAATGGTTTGGTAAACATGTCTGCTAACTGCATAGTTGATTGAATTGGAAGCAACCATATAGACTTGTTTTCAACTTTCTCTCGCACAAAATTACAATCGACTTCTATATGCTTGGTCTGTTCATGGAATGTAGGGTTAGTGGCTATTTGAATCACTCCTTCATTATCACAAAACAACAATGTAGAATCAATGGCATGAATTCCAAAATCTTTCAATAATTGTTGAAGCCAAACAAGTTCAGGAGTAGTTGTTGCCATTGCTCTAAATTCGGCTTCTGTAGAGGACCTGGAAATTGTTGGTTATTTCTTGGTTTTCCATGAAATAAGAGAGTTTCCAAGAAAGATGCAAAACCCACTAATAGACTTTCTCGTTTCTTTACATGTGGCCTAATCAGAATCACAAAACCCTTTCATTTGTAAAGATGATTCTTTTGAGAAAAATAAACCTTGTCCAGGTGATCCTTTTAAGTATCTAATAAGATGACGGGCTGCTTCAGAATGAGGAACACATGGATTTGACATGAATTGAGACAAACATTGAACAACAAAAGAAATATTTGGATGTGTGATGTTCAAATATAACAATCTGCCAATGAGACATCTATATTTAGAAGGATCATAATACACTTCACCAACATCTTTTTGAATATGAATCTTGGGATCCATAGGAGTATGTTTGGGCTTTGCAGCTAATAAACCAGCATCTTCAATGAGTTGAAGAGTATAATTTCGCTAAGAGATAAAAATACCCTTCTTAGATTTGGCAATTACTAATCCCAAAAAAAATCCCAAGGAACCCAAATCTTTCGATTTAAATTGGTTACTCAATTGTTGCTTCAAGAATTGTATTCCTTATGTATTTGGACCAGTGATGATTATATCATCAACATACACAAGTAATGCTACATAATCGTCTCCAGTGCCCTTATGAAACAATGAATAATCGGATTTGGATTGAGTGAAACCCAAAATCAGCATAAATTGAGAAAATTTGTTGAACCATTGTCTGGAAGCTTATTTAAGTCCATAAATGGACTTATTTAACTTGCACACCATTTTTGAACCTTCTTGTTCCCCTTGAATCTGAAATCCTGGAGGAATATCCATAAAACCTTCTTCGTGTAATTCACCATTTAAGAATGCATTATTTACGTCCAATTGAACCATTTCCTATTGATGAATATGTAACACCCCAAAGTTAGGAAGGCCAAGAAGGAAAGAAAACCCTAAGTCAAAGGATCAACTCGCCGAGTCCAGTGCGAAACTCGGTGAGTCCGAGCGGGATCCAGGTTCAGGAGTTAGTGACCGACTCGGCGAGTCTGGTCTGAACGAGGAAAACCCTAATCCCGAGAGTTGTATCTTATATAATGGGTGTTATGTCCCTCCCTCAGCCTCCTTATCATCCTAGAGAACCTGTAAACCCCAGATTTCGTGTGAGATTCCATCATTTGAGAGAAATAGCTTTGGAGGAAGGAAACTTTGGAATGGAACTTGAAGATCAAGAAGGTTGCTTCAAAGGGGAGGTAAAGATCCGGGATCTACTTCAGTTTGTGTTTATCTTGGAGGTAATAAGCTGCTATCTTCCCTCCTTTGCATCTAGATCTACTTTTGTTATGAGATTTGGGGGTTTTATGGTTGTTTGAGACCCAATTCGAGTTTGGGGCATAGATATGTCGTTGCCACTTCAGATCTAGTGTTGGGATGGTCCAATATGTCATAAAGCATCAGAACATGAGTAGTTGGTGAAGCCTTTTTGTCCCTAAACCTAGCCCTAGAGTGTTTTGAGCCTTGATCTCTTTAGTTATACGTAAAGTTTGCAACTTTACGTGAGGATTGAGCTTTGGGAGTATGGATCTATGAGTTGGAGCCCCTGCATGGCTCAAAAAGCCACTGTATGGATTAAGAACTGATGCAACTCAGCGAGTCACATGGGTGGACTCGGCGAGTTGGATGAAGTTGGGCAGGAACTCGGTGAGTTGGAAGAATAACTCGGCAAGTTGCTCGGCGAGTCTGTTCTTGGACTCGGCGAGTCTGGTCTTGAGGTCCTAGCCTTTTCTGGTTAAGCTGAGAATCGGTGAGTCAAGGGACGACTCAGTGAGTTGAGATGGGATTTTTCAGAGTTGAGGGACTCGACGAGTCAGCGGGCTGACTCGGCGAGTTGGGTCAGTCACGAAGTTTGACTTTATCTGAGGACTTTGACTTTGACCAAGAGTTGACCAATTGACTTCCAAGGGCATTGTGGTAATTATTGGTATTTATTGGTTCCAGTATTTTGGTATTATCAGGGGTGGAGTTCGTGTCAGAGGTTGGAATAGCGTGATCTCATCTTTTCAGTCAGCAAATTGCAAGGTGAGTTTCCCTTTGTGTGAATGGGTGGCCTTATATCGGCCCATGTAGATACTAGTAG